GAACGGGTGGAGTTAGAAAAATGTCACCGAGGCTGATGTAGACATGGCGGAGGCCGCCGCGCTCACCCTGCTCCGTGACAGGCTGGAGCCTCTCACCTGTGCCAGTGTGCAGGTGTGAACAGCAGGTGATTTTCTGCTGCGTTTGATTGGTTGGTGCACTGACACTGTGAGCGTGCGCAGGAGCTGTGTGACGTCAGTGACGACGTTTCAACTGAACAGCTGATCAGCCCAGCAGCCGGCAGAGGAAACAGAACGGAAACAGGAAGTTACGCAGCAGGTTGTCATGTCAACAGAAACGCAGTCGTTCAGACGTCGGCTCAGACTCGGGTGTTTCAGCTGTTTCCGGTCGTTTGGTTTTAGAACAACTTAAATTTAAATTCTTCTTCTGCTGAAATATCTGCAAACAGCTGACGGCTGTCACGTGACCCCGGCTGACGCCGTTGCTATGGTGACGGATCGCAAACGCGGAGGTCACAGTCGCGGGTCTGCAGCGGCTCTCCTGAACGGTAAGACCGGAAGTGTCTGACCTTCACCTGCGCCCACGTTAACGGGAAACCGGGGCGACGTCACTGCGCGTGCAGATCAAAGAGCCGCTCGGCTGGCTTTGAGTTAAATATAATTACGTTTGGAAACGAGGGTCACGAGCTGGGATCCAGACACGCGCTGCTGCTGTTGCCTAGCAACCGCGACGCCAACAGCCGGAGACGCTCAGGACAGAAATTTACTGCAGAAGCCTGAGCGTGGGCGGGGTCAAGCAGGTGTGGGCGGGGTCACCTGTGATGGTTTACCTGAGACAGGAGGACCCGTCGTGTTGTGGGCGGTGCTAATGACTAGGGCGGGGCCTCAGTCAGATATATGATCATCCTGATCATTTATCAGTATGTTTATATCTATGAAACCAAAGCTGTGAGACTTCATCACAGGTGTGAGCGTCACAGCAGACGCCTTTGTGTCACACTCACTGAGGATCAAACAGGAAGCAGATGTTCCTGCTTTTTATAGCAAACAACCTGAAAATGTTCTGCAGTCGAGCAAAAACTGAAGAGCTGGAAGGAAAGCAGCAAGTCTGGGAGCCTCTGACGCTCTGTCGCCTGCTGTTGTTAGCCCTGTGTGCTGCACAGCCAGCGAGCTGGGACCTGCTGGGGCCATGAAGAAGATCACTGATGTCAGCTGGAGCTACAGCGTGCAGGGTCCTGTGGTCATGATTAGGGAAGGAGACGAACCTGTGAACGAGTTTTTCTCCAGCTTTACGACAGACACGCTTTAAACAGCGAATGCTGTCGTTTGTCCGGGGAGAGGGTTTCCACACAGGGGCTGGTGTAGCTGTAACGGGGCAAATATGATCTAAAATAGAAAGACAACAATTATTAAAAAGATTTGTTAATAAACATCGTTAGAAGCAGCAGAACCAAACGAAAAACATCAGAAACGTTAGCAGACGTAGAGGAATTTAAGGTGCGCGAGCTAAAACATGACGGACAGGAGGAGGAGGCAAATAAACAGACGGGTTGAAAATGATACAAGGATGCTCCGACATAACACGAGGTCCAGAGAGTGTCCTTCGGTGTGAGTGGGGCCGGACACATGCTGTGGGAAATGAAGAGTCCGTGATGCTAAGGTCAGCGTCATCATCATGTTGTGTGTTAAAATCCCCGATTATTAACGATTAACGAGACCTGACGTGGTCCGCCCACATTCAGCTCCAGACCAAAGAGGCAGCGCCTGCATCACCTACGACAGCTGAGGAAGTTCAGTCTCTCCAAAGATCCTCAGGATCTTCTGTACAGGCGCTGTGGAGA